TTGTATTGTAATTGATCATTGTCATGTGTTTTTGATGCGTGTGACTGTATAATGATTTTAAAGCATTCAGGTAAAATAAATTGAACCCTTTGTGACTTACTTTATTAAATTATTTAGATTTTATCATCCAGTTACTGTACTGGAATACTGTTAGACTCAGGAAAGGATCGAACACTTTTTTTCAGTTGTGTTTTTGTTTTAATAGTATTTATAGACTGTTCTGCATGAAAATACTCGCAAATGCAGAAACACACTGCAGATGGCACAGAGCACAATGACAATGTGCTGAGGGACCCCACAAAGCGAATAGATTGTTTATTAGAGTTGATGGAGAAGCACTCCCACTGCACTATAAAACACAATATCATGCTGCACTAATATAGATATATATATATGAGTGGTGCGGTGGTCACCCGCTGTGTAAAACATATGCTGGATAAGTTGACAGTTCATTCCGCTGTGGCAACCCCAGATTAATAAAGGGACTAAGCCGAAGGAAAATTAATAAATGAATATTACATATATATATATTTATAAATGTATAGATAAGTATGCAATGTATGTATGTATTCGTATGTGTGTGTGTGTGTGTGTCTGTGTATATATATATATATATGAGCAATATCACACGAGTAGCCGTGCGATATGGCTGTATATCGGCACTGGTGGGAGGCATGCGATCACTTAAGGCTGATTTATACTTCTGCGTCAAACGTCGGCGTATGCTACGGCGCTGACGCATAGCCCTTCGCCGTGGCCGTCGCCGTGGCTGACGTGCACCTCTCAAAAATTGTAACTACATGTCGCAACGATGCGTAGCGCAAGCTCTGTGATTGGTCGGCTTGGTAGCGCTGACGAGTCTGGGCGGGACCGAGAGCCGCGTGAATGGCACGAGCTGGACGCGAGCCTGATGGAGTGATTGTTTACAAGTGTGGAGTCCCGTGAAGGAGCTCCGGATGGAAAGTTTTGTTTTGTGTTTACCTCATAGTTAAAGTTGTTGCACGTCAGCCGGTTCCTGCCTCAAAATGAGCGAGTTTGAGCCACTTGTACATCCCGGAAGTGTTCAGGAAAAGCAAAACAGCAGTGAAGAACACACTCGACACAGAGGAACATTTACACCTCACTGCCCACTAGCGTTTCAGAAGTGTGAATGCAGACCAACAGAGACAGCAGCAGAAGTATAAATGCACAGCTACGCACATTGCATGCGCCGTGGGTTACGCCGGTCACCTGACGCAGAAGTATAAACCAGGCTTAAGTGCCCCCACCAGTGCCGATATACAGCCATAATCGCACTGCTACTCATGTGTGTGATATTGCGTTTATACAACAGTTTGATGGCACAATTGTGTATATAAAAACAAAATCAAACATGGAGAGTCTCAAAAACCCTTTTGTATGAGGAACTACTTTCTTCCGCGTTGGATTCAAATCATAGCTGACAGTTAAACAGCTGAGCAAGCATCTTTTACACTGTAGATCTGTAGTGTCTGCTTATTGCTGGCTGTTTGTGGGCGGAGTAATACACAAAGGGTAAAGAGGCTGTACGAGTGCTGATATTGCAGAATATCGCACGGCTATCAGCCAATCAAATTCGAGAACCAGACAGAACTGTTGTATGAATACACACATACACATACACACACACACACACACACACACACTGTTCATAATTAGAAATGTTTATAAACTCGTTTTTTATTATATAAAATATAGAATAAACAAAATACATAACATTTAAATAAATAAAAACAAATATATTTTAAATAAACAAATAACAATAATATAAATACATAATATACACACACATACACACATATCCATCTATCTATCCATCTATCTATCTATCTATCTATCTATCTATCTATCTATCTATCTATCTATCTATCTATCTATCTATCTATCTATCTATCTATCTATCTATCTATCTATCTATCTATCCATCTGAGAAAGTATATGTTAACATTATATTGTAAAATCTGTTTATATTTTCAAAGCAGTTGAAGAGTTATAGGATCAGAAAAATATATATCTGGAAACATATTTTAGATTTTAAATGAGAAAAATAGAGATGTGTTATGGATGTGACAAGTTAGCGAGTTTACAGCACACAACACGCGTTGTAGAAATTCTGTGGATTAAACTGCACAACTCAAAATAAATAAAGCTTATGAAAAGGAGAAGCGTCGGCTCATTATAGAACACAAATAATTGATTTTATTTAAAAAAATTTTTGTTGCATTTATGAGGAAAAAGCTCCGTTATGGATGTGACCAATGTGAAATTGGCACTTGTGTGATTTTGGTAAATCAAATATTATTGTTTTACCAAATATAACCAGATTTATTTTAAAAGGCAACATTGGACAATTTCAGAAAGTTTGGGTCTCTTTCTTTTGTCACTTCGTGGGGAATTCTTCCCTTAAAGCAATGTATTGTAACTAAAAAGTTGATTTGATTATCACTGTGTTGTATACTTACAGGCTGGGCTTGAGGTGTTTGTTTTGTTTTGTTTTTGTTTGCTATTGTAAATGTATGCTTATCAGAAAACTAATCCTGGAATCTGTGATTATTGTAAGTTTATTCAATGACCAAATAAAAAAAACTTATTTGACAAAAAGCACTGTAAAATACTTTCTTGCACAATAAACGCAGATACAGTTTCCATATTATGGCAAAAACTTAACTTTGTTCATGGCAAGGTTGACATTTGCATGAAATTGCTCATATATATATATATATAAATATATATATATATATACACACACACACACACACACACACACACACACACACACATACATATGAAATGTTCACAGTTTGTCTGATAATATTTGTTCTTCTGGAGAAAGTCTGATTTGTTTTATTTTGGCTAGAATAAAAGCAGTTTTTCATTTTTAAAACACCATTTTAAGGCCAATGTTATTAGCCCCTTTAAGCTATATTTTATTCGATAGTCTCCAGAACAAGCCACCGTTATACAATAACTTGCCTAATTACCCTAGTGAAGCCTTTAAATGTCACTTTAAGCTGTATAGAAGAGTCTTGAAGAATATCTAGTCTAATATTATTTACTGTCATCATGACAAAGAGAAAATAAATCAGTTATTAGAGATATATAACTAAAATAAATAAATAAACTAAATAAATATACCACTATGATATTGACATATTATATACACATTTCTAAATAATATATATATGTAATACATACATAATAACACACAAGTTAACACACGGTATGTATGTGTATGTATAAACTATATACATAACACACACACACACAAAGACAAACAAACAAACACAGAGTGATGTGTGAGCTGGTCATGTTTACATTTACTGTTCCAGCAGTGCCTGAAGCTCTTCTCCTCATTAAATCACAGTAAATCTCAGTGAATCCGCGTAAATCACTGTAAATCAGGGTAAATCAGGATGACAGTGAGCCTCAGATCAGCGCCGATCAAACTGATTAATAACGGTCATTTGCGTTTACCCGCCGCTATCAGCACGTGTGTGTGTGTGTGTGTGTGTGTGTCCGCTATTCCAGCATGTTCGAGACACACACACACACACACACACACACACACACACACACACACACACACACACACACACACACACACACACACAGATGTAAATGTTAAAACAGTAATGTATTAGTCTTACTCAGACAGTCGTGTAGAGACTGAGAGCTCATCGCCGCTGCAGTGTGTATTCCTCAGAAGAAGAAGAAGAGAAAAACAACATGGAGAATCTCTAATAATATCAGCATCTCCCTCTCTCTCTCCCTCTCTCCCACACACAAACACCTGCTTCTCCCGCGGTTGTTGCTATAACGGGATACCGCTCCGACCGGAAGTCAACGAGAATTATTTAAATAATTTAATAAATCTCGCATTATTTTGTGTTTTATTTACGTCCACACATACCCGAGCCCCAACCTATCCCTCACAGTAACGTAAAAATTGTATTTATTGTTGTACAGTGTCACAGAAAATATGCTCTGTGGATGTGCGCATGCTCAGGTATCCGCAGCTGTATATTCTCTGCTCCACCGTCTAATATCCTTTTATTTGTGTTGCTTTAATCAATTTATTTAGCTGCTTATGTTGTTATTTGATTTATATTTTTGTTGTACTCATTTTGTTAATTTTTAAATATTTATTGATGAGTAAAAACAGTAAATTAATAAATACTAGTCATTATAAATGTGAATACGACATTACCCAATAGTATTTTCATTTAATTTTTTTTGTAGTTTATAGATTGATTTATTATTATTTTTCTTACTAAAACGAAATAATTACATCATTATTATTATGAATATTATTGTTGCTTAAAAGGTGTTCAGTCACATCATCTGAAACGTCGTTTTTGTTGTTGCTATTATTGTTTTATTTGTAATATTGTCCATTCACAGCATCTGAAATAAAATATTAGTCTTGTTTTTCTTCCCTTATAAATGTATATTTTAACCTAAAATGGCGTATTTGTTTTTAAACATTATTTTATTGTGTTAAATGAGCTAAACAATGACCTAATTTGCAGCTATTAAGCTGAAAATAATCAACACCAACACTTTTTAGAGTTGCTTTACTGTTGAATGAGACTAAATGATGTACATTATTGATAATTTATGAGTAAAACATCTGGATTTAATAATAAAACACAATTGTATGCAAGTTTAACAAATCCTTCAACATCTCCCCGGGTGTGCTGAAATAAATACCGATTGGGAATATTATCAGACTGCCGCTAAATATAAAAATAGACTTCTACACGGACCCGTGAACTGCTCGCGCATGCGCAGTGTGGAGGGCGTGTCAGTGAACGGGACGTCACCGCCGCCCGCTTCCTTCTTCCGGGATCGCGAGTGTGCAACATCCTCCGCCGAGAGAAATCATGTCTCATCAGACGGGCATTCAGGGTAAGATCTGCACATTATCATCATTATTATGAATTATGATGAGGCTCATTTATGATTCAGAGTCAGAGAGGGGATCAGCGGAATCTGTGGATAAAGCAGAGGCGCGCTCAGATTGATGATCAAACCAGATAATAGATGATCAAGTCTATGTGTGTGTGTGTGTGTGTGTGTGTGTGTGTGTGTGTGTGTGTGTGTGT